TGCTTCTGGAAGCTTCTGGATGCTTCTGAATGTTTCTGGATACTTCTGGATGCTTCCAGATGCTTCTTCTGGAAACTTCTGGATACTTCCTTTAATTATTAAAAAACTTCCGTGATATTGACACAGACCAGACTTAGAAAATGAAACAAACCAAAAAAGTTGCACTTGTTTTGTCTGCTGCAAAATGGTACTTGTCAACGAAAATCTGCCTGTGTGCAGTCACCTGTCAGCTGGTTGCTCATGTCATGGCATGCTATGACTCCAGACTCCTGAGCTGTTTGCTGGAACACTTTTTAGCATTGTTCGATGTTGGTTGCAAATGTTTTGTCCAATACTGTATAAAAAATTTAGGTGGGTTTTAATAAAATCTTTATGTGGAGGAACCATACTAATCCATGTTTTTTCTCAACTTTACAACTTTATCTTTAAGTAATTTAAAAATATATTATTTATTAAGTTCATTATAATTCCCCTTACAATTCACAACCCCTCAAAAGAAAGATATTTTCAAAAAATGTCACTGCAATGTTAAAAAACACTTTAACTGAAATAGAAAGAATGGTCTTAGCTAGTGAAGTCAGCAAATTTGTGTGTCCTGTCATATAGGAGTCCTTGGTTTGAAGGCATATTATCTACTCATCAAGAATGTGAATGCAATTATCTCTATCAGATACCAGTCTTTTAAACCAATGACATCTTTTGCTCCTATATTTGAAACAATGTTCTAAACTGTAGACAAAAGTTTTATTTCAAAGAAAATAGTTAAATATTCTTATAATGTAGTTGGGTCAAATTATGAAATCTATTCAATTACTTAAAATTTTGAAGCTGGATTGCATTTTTAGTAACCATTAGTAACCATTAGGAGTATCTAAGACACTTATAGTCATAGAAATGAACTTGGATTAGAACAACAGAAAGTGTTCACAGGATTTTGAAAATACACTTGGAACATTACAAACACCCCTTAAGATCCAGAAGATATAACCAAGCTAAAAAGAGCTTCAGTTGAACTTATTTCTAAACTCATACGGAAGTCTCATTTATATATACTGTTTTGTATTGAGGGTCATTGAAAATTAAGTATAATAACTTTTTGTAAAATAATTAATTTCCTATGCTAAAAGCAATGAAAACGGGTTTTATTCTGATTAATTTTCAAAAAAAAGGTCACCCACAAAACAAAGTTTTTAAAATGGTATATAAGAAGTATTTGCAGGCAGTAGCATTATGACTTTTCTGAAGACTTTCTGAAACTCTCTAAAATTTTCTGAACTATTCTAGATGATTTTAGAAATCTTTAAAACTTTAAAAAAGAAATTTTTAGAGTCTGCTTTAAGTTTATGGAAATTAAGAAGATTAGACTATATCAGCTGCCTGATTGAGCAACACTAATAATTATATATGAATCTATGGTCAGCAGATGGCAGTCAAATAATACAGAAGCACAATAGCACTTACATTTATTATTATTGTCTTTCAGAAATATATTCAAGTATTATCTTCAATCATTATGTCCTAAAAGTAATGTGCTTCCACTACTAAAAGAAACAAGTCAATTTGGATTAGGAATTTTATAAGGTTTTATGAGTAAAATAGAAAAAGAAGAACAGTTCTACTAGAAGAAAAATTACTGAAAGATAACAGCAGGATACTACTAAAAATCCAAGTTGTTAATTGCTATCTGTTTATTGCAAAAAAAATTGAATTTTCAACTTTCATCAATTCAAGTCGTACAAGCAAAACTGGATCAAGTGCTTTAGACGTACACTAAAAGTGTAAAACAAAGAAATTACAATCAATTGAATGAAGTTTATTACATCACAAAAAAAGATTGTGAATGGCTCTGCATTGAGGACAAAAGATCGTATCATCTTCAAATTGAAAGCAAAGGACAGTTTGGGTATACAACTGGGAAGGTTGTAAGTTCAAAACTATTTATTCATCCAAACAAAGAACAAAACCAAAAATGAAATTAATTAATCAATAAATTAGTAACATCTTCAAAGTTATCAACCAGCAATTCAGACACCATGACAGTCTGGTATAATCAAATAAACTTTTAAAGAAGCTATTAAATTTAAAGAAGAAGTAAAGAAAACACTACATTTAGAAAGCCACTGGTCACTGTACTTTGATGGTAAACATATTAGTCACCAAGAATATCAAGTGCTATTGATGAAGAATAAATAAAAAGCGCAGTTAAGTTACACGCACTAGGTCTTCTAGACAGAAAAACAGATACTGTTGTTAAAGGTATAACAGCTATTTTCAATAAGTACAATTCATGGACGAGTATAAAGATGATTGTAGTGGATGTTACAAAATGTAGACACTGGAAGAAGGAAAAGAAACTGGAAGAACCACAATTCATTGGTTGTCAACAATATTCTTGACTGAGTCCTTTGCATAATAATGAATGAAGAACTTGGAGGAAACATTATGTCGTCAAATATCAAAAATCTGTTTATCCCTGAACTTGTAAAGAACTACAAAGAGCTTAGAAAGAATTTCAAGAATGGTAAAAAAGTGATTACTCAAACAGCAGGATAGTGGGATAATACAAAATTTTAAAGTTAAGAATTGTATATTACAGGCTTGGTCGGGAAGCGGGAGCAATTGCTCTTGATTGCTGACCGCGTAAATAATATTTAGTTGCGAAAAGCTGGCCAGATTTTTTAGTCGTTTTGAGAACATTTTAAAACGCAAAAAATAAAAAGTGCTTAAGATTAATTGGACCGATAAAAGACAATTACAAAAAAAAAAAAAAAAAAAATTAGGCAAATAAAATATCTTTGAACGCAAAAAAACTTAAAGCTAAATAAATTACATTTGGAACAAATATTTTTGAAACATCGCTCTTTTACAATTTTTTTTATAAAATTAGGCGATGTTTTTGTATTTAAAGTAACAACTTACGATTGTTTAAAAGGGAAACAAATATTCTTTATTTAACAAAGTTTGCAAGTTTTAGTTTCATTTAAGCTAAATTATTTTATAAACAAAAAAGTTAATTTTTTTAATACCTTGTTTATGTTTCGCGTAATTTAAAAAGTTCAACATATTTGAAATAATTCTTCTTAGTAAGATAAACAAATGAAATAATTAAATTATTGAATTACTATAGAAATTAATTTATCAACTAGATAGAACTAGATATAAATCAACTAAAAAGGTTAAAAATACTTTATGACGAGGAAGCGAAACTGCTTCACAATATCGCTGATGATGTTTAGTGAGTGGGCTTTTTAAATTTATTTAGTATTTAAAGCATAAAAAAGTATAACGAGTTTTAAGAATGGCAACTTAATCGAAAATAATTAGAGTTAGTAAACCAATATCTAGAAACTTTTCTTTATATCTAATTATTTGCTATATATATTTGTGTTCTGTCGTGACCTCAGGCGCGGTGCTTGTTTATCCGCGAGTTACTTTGTATGGGGTTGTTTGTGTTTAGTAACCAGAAACTTCTTATATGTTTGTCACATAATTAGTTTTATTAACTTTAACGATTATAACTTCATTGAAAACGCAATTATTTTTGTAAGTCTTATTTTAAATCATAAAAATTGCTTTAAAAGATACATAACAATAAAAACAAATACACAAAATTACATTTACATAAAGAATACTATCTCCTTTTAAATAAAAAATAAGAATATACTAATAAAATCTATAATTTATAATAAACTTTCAAGAATTTAATAATAAAATTTTGACAATTTAATTAATATATATTTAAAACATTTATTTTTGTAAACAAATAATATATATTCTTAAAATAATGCTAGAAATCTCAAAACGTAACAAATCGTGAATAATACAATTTCTATAACATTTCAACAAAATACTCCAAAACTTTATTTCGCTTAATCAGCGTATTTTTTGAACCAATAGAATTAGTTTGTTCGTTAATTTGGCAGGTTTTTAGTGTTCGCGAATATTCTTTTTACTCTTTCGCACCAAGATGTTTTGAGAACATCTTAGTGCGAAAGTTTTTTATGTTTCCATGTATGTCCGTAAAACAAAAGTTTTTTGTTTCGTACATAAACTTAAATGTTCTCAAAACGACTAAAAAACCTGGCCAGTTTTTCGCAACTAAATATAATTTCTGTGGTCAGTATTCGAGAGCGATCGCTCCCGCTTCCTGACCAAGCCTGATATTATGCTATAATTAGCTGAATACTACACAAAATTTTTTCGATATATACAGTAACTTTTTGTATTTGTATAATTGTTATTCAAGTTTGTAATTTTAAATTTATTTGTAATTTAGAGTGTTATGATGTAACAGTAAACTGCTTAAAGCTACATAAAAACTCTCCAATTAAAAAAAAATTAGAATTAAAAATAACAATCATTAAATTGTTTGAAATTTTATCCATACGCATATATGGTAAATTCAAATTTTTAGTTTGTGGGTGGCCTTTTTCAACAAGAAAATCAACTAAATGTTTTTTTTTAAAATTACTTTTGTACAAATATTCATTGATTTTTAAGCCAGGAACATGGGTCACAGAAAAGTCATAACCCTAATATATATATATATATATATATATATATATATATATATATATATATATATATATATATATATATATATATAGTATTTTTAGTAAACTATTTGCCCTACAAGATTTTAATTTTTACAAGAATTGAACTTTTACCTTAGAAGAAATTAACTAAAAAGTATTTAACTTTGAGTATTAAAAAAATAAAATAGTTTGTTAGTAGAGTTTATGATTTTTCATGATTTCATGCTTTTTCTAAATAAACATCTAAATGCTATAACTTTATGATAATAGTAAAAAATTATGCACAGTGTATACTTAATATCATAAGCATAACTTAAACAGATTTTTTAGCGACTCTATTTCAAGGCCAATAAATAAAATTCCAAAATCTGCAAAACATATAGTTCAACACTCCTAAATAATTACACATAAAAACTGTCTGCAAACATTAAAAAATGTATTTCAAAGAAAAGTATTATAACATACCAATTGGTGAGATGGGTGCATCCACATAAATTCCATATTACTGGTATTATTCTTCACTCTGTTTTGTTTTTTTAAATTAACTAGTTCTGCACGTATTTTAAAATAAAGATCTTTCCATTGAATATGTCTATCCCGCTCATTTTGAATTTGAGTTCTCAAAAAAGATGTGTCCTACAAGAGTATTCAATACATGAAATATAAACATTTTTAAAAAAACAACAAATAATGAAAAAAAACTAGCTAATAAATATTTATAAATAAAACACTTATTTAAAGGCTTTTAAAGTTCTTTTTAAGTAAGTAAGCATTCATTTAGTAGCTTATGTTGTTACCATTTTGTCATATTGTTTCGTTGTATTATTCTTTATCCAAACATTTTAGTGTTAGAATAAAGATTTTAGTATTAGAAATTGAAATTGAACATATAATAATTAAAAAAATTGATTACTATTTTTTAAACTTTTTTATAATAATTTTGTCTCTGTCAATGTTTAACCGTTATGGACTCCTAAAAATATTTTATACTAAAAATATTTTAAGAAGTTCAGTGCAGTTTTATCATATAGAACAAATCCTATGTAGTTTTATCATATAGAACATTTTTACTTTAAAAAAAAAAAATGGTTTTATGGGACACCCTATATATTGTAGTAAATATCATATATATAACACAATATTTCAAACAAAAAATATACAGTTCTACATGTATGTATATAAAACTTGTATATTAAAGAACATTGACAATTAAATGATCCTCCTGGCATTAACCTGATTTGCAAATAAAGACTGAGTAATTTTATTGTGATGCTACTACTAGGAAGGTTAGAAACCAGGTTTCTCCTAACCTTACTCACAATTAAGAATTTTATATCAGTTTCCTTTTCTCAAGTAAGTTGCATTCACCATGGTCTCACTTGCCCCTATACACATAACACATAATAAATTTACATTAACCACTATTGATTTAGTCTATATTTTATTTTATCAATTACTCTTCTGAATAGTAAAAATATAGGCTTACTATGTCATATTCAGTTTGAAATTTGTGGACCATTGCTTCCAGATGCTCATTTTCTGTAAGTAACATTTTACACCTGCCTTCAACCTATGAAAATATATTCAATTAAAATATATGAAAATAATGGCTCAACCAACCATCAAGCCATATAAAATAAAATAAAAACTAAATATATAAAAAAGCTCAAATAAAGCATATAGACATCATGATTCACAATATCCTTTTTGTAATATATTTTCTTAAAATAATCACAATTTTCTAATTTTATATTTTTTTCACAATTATAATATAAAATTATTAAATTACAAATTTATTATAAATACAAGTATATTTGTTTGAGGTTTTAACCTCAAAATTGTACTGTTTCACAATTTCATTATTTATTAAACTTTTTAAATCAAGACATGAAGAGAGATTGTTTTATACAAAATAAGTTGGCAACGTTCTGTACCCAGAAAAATAAAATCTTTTATGGTAGAGATGCTATTAAGTGGATCTGATGTGCAACAAACACCAAATCTTGACTTGAAAAATAGAAGAAAAAAAAAAGGTTAATAGAAAGTAAATTTAAAAACATTTAGAAGCATCATATATTTACAAGTGATCACCAAAGTGATGCAACCAATATATATATATATATATATATATATATATATATATATATATATATATATATATATATATATATATATATATATATATATATATATATATATGTATATATATATATTATATATATATACATATATATATATATATATATATATATATATATATATATATATATATATATATATATATATATATATATATATATATATATATATATATATATATATATATATATATATATATATATATATATATATATATATATATATATATATATATATATATATATATATATATATATATTGGAAAAACAAATAATGAAAAAAACTAGCAAATAAATATTTCTGAATAAAACACTTAATTAAATGCTTGTAAAGTCCTTTTAAAGTCAGTATGCCTTCATTTAATAGCTTATGTTGTTACCACCAATATATTTTATATAAAAGTTTTATTGTATTAATCTTTAACCGAACATTTTATATTAGAATTTATATATATATATATATATATATATATATATATATATATATATATATATATATATATATATATATATGTATATATATATATATGTATATACCCATATAGTGTAGTCGAAAGAGCGTTTTAATGTAAAAAAAGTCTCTTACGACTACAATTTTAATTACCTCGTCTCTTAAGCTGTTTTTGATTGTCATCGAAATGTCAAAGCAATTAATTTATGCGGAAGTACATTAAATTTAATTGTTTTTTAAAAAATTTTTAAAAAACCGCAATTATAACGACTAGAAAGTTTTTTTTAATTAGTGGTGTTTTTGTTATTGATTTAATAAAAAACATTTTTAAAACATGCGTAAATGTTGCTACATCGACTATCTTATAGCCTGACTC